AAAAAAAAAAAAAATCATTAACCATAATGCATCGATAAACATCAAAATTACTAAAAAGAAACCAAACATAAAATGAATGTTGAATCTTCTTTCAACCGAATTTACATCAGATATATGCACGACATATTAAAAATGTAATGCCGACGGTGAGATCCGAAAGGGCGGTATGCCAACAAGCATCGTGATCTCAGTAAATCGTCGAACACGATCCCAACCCGCATTCCATCAACAACTTTCCGCAATGAACCCATTAGTGCCGAGATCCGACGAGAATTTTCATTCATGAACGAAGAATTCAGAGTCGTTTCAAAAATCAATGGAAAACAAAGCAAAATTTCAAACAAAATCAGCAATCAATTTCATTTGCACAATAAGAAATTTTCAACCCTAACCCCCAAAAATTTCGCCAGCAATAACGTGAGCAACCCTAGTTATAACATAGAGCTTTTTTATAACTTAGATCTACCTCTGGCCCTCGCACTGCCGTTGGTGAATGCCAAAATCGGCGCCATCGAAATCGCCTCTCTCCGCCATTTTTCACCACTTTGATCACGCCCCTCGCAATTACCTTATCACCGTGAATCTGTATTCGATGAACCCCAAAAATCGAGTAAGCGGCCCGAATCGATTTCCACCATGATTAGTTGTTTTACCTCTCTCCGGTGCTCGCCATCATCGGCCGATCTAAGAAGAAGAGAGAACAAGATACAAGATGGGAGGTTGTATATATATGAAGTGTTGGTGTGTGCGTGTGTTATGTGAAATAAAAAGGGAAGAGAAAAGATGAATTGAATGGGTCTATTGCGTTGGAGAAGATAGATAAGCAAAGAGGATTAAGAAAATAAAAGTTCCCATTCTAGTGGAATAGAAAAGATTAGTAAGGAAATAAAAAGGTATATCGTATTTAAGGAGAAAAAATTATTCAATCTCGTCCACCAGGTAATTTTCTCAAAATTGAACCGGAAACAAATTTGGGCTTTTCTTGGGATAGTCCTTTTGGCCCAATGGGTTTTGAATTGTTCTTTGATTGATGAATGAATCAGGTTTAGCCCACCGCATCGGACTTGTATGATCAGAGCATCCAAG